TTGATGTGCCACATTTAGTTCTTATGGTCGAACTTCTCGTAAAGCAGTTTAATCTCCGTTTTTGTCATCTCTTCAGATCCTGTTGACATGTTTATCTAGTTGCACTAAGAACTCAGATAAGAGTATTAGTTTGCTGTTCTCTTAGTATGTTGCATGGTACTGTAACATTTTCTCTTATAATCATGTATTAAGGATTAATATGCTCTTTTATATTTTTCCTTAAAGCAGGCGTACGCGCACTGCCGAACGACTGGTTATCGTATTCAAGTCTCTTGCATTCTCCAGGGGTCTGTTCACAATGGCTTGGCTTCCGTCCAATCTGGCTATGAAACCAGCCCAATACTTCTCACCCCTGTAAACCGGACCTGGTTCGCCTGCAACCCGGAAGATTTCATTAATCCTTTCGCATTGCGATACAACCTTCTCGTATTTGAAAGCTTTGCGGCAATTTTTGGTCTTTTGGGTTATGTGGTCACAATTACTAGGCAGCGACTACTGGATGAGCGGCTCGTAGACAAAGTACGACGACAAATCGCCGCAGTCGTATAGATGCCACAGCCTTTCTAAGTGCCTTCCTATAACTAAATGTCAACCGCCTCATATTTCTGGTGTGTAAATAACATTAATTGTTTTCCTTTGATTCACATATTTCAGTTGCTATTTTTTCGTTATTTTCATTGACCTGCCGCTGCTGCCTCGGCTCTCAGTCCACTGAATTTCGAGTAGGCATTCCTTTAAGACCTATACATATGCTGTTTGCTAAGCTTGTCTGTCAGTTACAACTTTACTTAAACCTCTAATTAAAAAAAACCATTTTATTGAATAAAAAAGTTTCTTTCTTCTATCTTACCTATTATTTTTAATGATGATCCTATTCACACTTAAATGTTTGCTTCTTTCGACAAGCCCGTAAGTTTTTAAACTTTGTTTGGCTAAATATAGCTTTGTTAGCAGGGTGTATTTTGTCGGATAGTGTTTATAGGCGTCCAGGCTACCGATTATAAAGATAATTAATAGTTGTAGGCCTGGACTTAACTGTGCTTTGTATTCAAGGTTTTAGCGCCAATATGTGAGCAATGTGTACGCCATTAATCCCGATACTTGATTAGGGGTCTGGAAGCCCGTTCCCTCTCACTTCACAGTAGGTTTCTTCGACTTGGGCATCTTGAAAACAATTGTATCCATGATTAATGTGGGTTGACCTCGTTGTCGCAACTTGGTCTTGTTTTCAGGGAGACCATGTAGAACGCACCTAGTCCGAATTCTGGGTTGACCTCGTTGTCGCAACTTGGTCTTGTTTTCAGGGAGACCATGTAGAACGCACCTAGTCCGACGGTTGACCTCGTTGTCGCAACTTGGTCTTGTGTTCAGGGAGACTATGTAGAACGCACCTAGTCCGAAGTCATCTGCCATAGTAGTTGTCTTGTTTCCCAGTGTCTGACAGTGAACTTGATACATTCTCAAACGTTTCGCCGGCATCATCACTCAGCCTTGCCATTCTTCGCACTAAGATACGAACTCGTCAAAGAGACAAGTCTTGGTGCGGAGAATGGCAAGGCTCACTGATGATGCCGGCGAAACGTTTAAGAATGTATCAAGTCCATTGTCAGATGCTGGGAAACAGGACA